TCAAAATGGACAAGTTGATACTTCGACTGTTCGAATAGAAGAACCTCCTATGAAACTGTGTTCGAAGGAGATCGAAAAGAACATAACGAAGCTTCGACAAGTCAAGATGAAGAGGTGATACCTCGATTGGTCGAATTGAAGGAAATGAGATCAAAAGGAATAAGAACTGAATTAGACTAGGCTGATTGGATATGAGGGGTTTCCAGATTACACAATCGATGCAGATGGTGACTAAGTCGAAGAAGTCATGATGAGGAAGCCTTGAGCAATTCGAATTGGAACTCAGAGCCATCGAAATGAACAAAGCTTGGGAGCTTGTCGAAAGAATCAATTGATGTGAAATGGAGATGTAAGTCGAAACAAAAACCTAATGGGGTGAAGCTTGTTGGGCTTGGACTGATTAGCTCAAAGCCCAAATTCGTGCAAAACACCAACCATAACCTGTCCAAGTTCACTCAAAGTTCAAAATGGCATGAAATATCTCAAAATGGCAACTTTTCAAATATGATGATTTTGCTTTCAAAGCCATAGTTAATGGTTGATTCATGACATATTTGTTCATCACTACACCCCTATATAAATACAAGACTAAATCATAAGGGGCACAAAGAAATAGAACACAAATTACCTCAAAGAGCCACATGCAGACTGTACCTCAAATCACCACAACTGCCTCAGAAAAACCGTATCAAAATTCATAAAAATTGCAAAATCTTCACAAGAGCTGTCAAATTTGAAACTAGCTTGGAAAGCTCCCTCAGTCCAAATAAACACCAAATTCGTGTTCCTGTGATTCCCAAGATTCAACCTAGGCCTCCTCCACACGCGAAAAGCCCGAGAATCCGTGGATCACGTTACTACGGCCAGGTGCAGAATTTTGATCTTGGATCTTTAATTTCTCACGCTGTAAACTGTTTCTAAGCATCCATATATACTCATACTAATGCTTGGGATGATTTAAGACCTGTTCTTTTGATTTTCAACGCATGAAGCATAAGGTAACATTGTTATGACACGATTTGGAAATGGTGGTTAAACTGTGTGATACAGGGACCTTTTGCCAATTTTAAATCCAGATTAGACTCATGGGGTTCGAATTAGGGGGTCTTATTAAGGGGAAGGACATGGGTTCGACACCCAGGTCATGCATTTTGTTTTTTCTAACAATTGTATTCTAGATCCCATGCTTGCAGGTCTAACATGCACACCATACATCACATGATCAACACCAGTAGATCTCATCTGATCAGATCCAGCGCTCCTAGACGTGAAGCTCACCATGCACCCTCAATGGATTCCCTTATTGGATCCAATTGCAGATCTGTGCTTATTTTACTTGGGCCCAATGAATGTCAATTTGCACCCCCTTTTCCACTTACTGCCTAGCCTGTTTCTATTTGATTATTTTGTTTTTTTTACTTATTTCTTTTGGTTTGTTTTTTTTAATCAATATAAAATCAGATAAAAATTATAAAAATATTAGGTTAGCATTTTTTCAATTAAATTAATTTTTTAGATTAATTAATAATTATTTAAACCATTTTCTTTAATTAAAAATTAAATAGACTTAGGATTTTAATTCATTTTCTTTTCATATTAAAAAAATACCAAAAAAAACTTAGACGATTAATCTCTTTCCTTTAATTTCATTTTTTATTTTTCTTTAAATATAGATCTAGATTAATTACTTTTAATTCAACTATTTTCTTAATATGAAAACAAAAACAAAAAAAGATTTCCTTTCACTTAGGATTTAGACGTTATTTTCAATTCGCGCGCGTTTATTGCTTTCGTTGTCATTTTCATATTAATGTATCTGATTATGGGATGTAATAGATTTTATAACTAGGACTTTACTTTACTACTTTATTTCCCCCAAGTTTTTGAACATGTAATTAATCCCCCTCCCCGAAGCCTTGTAATAGTTTAGGATTTACATTTCCGCACTTTTAATTTCTGCAAACTATTAACTGTCTAGATGCATGACTAATAGGATTGTATGGTAAGAACATAATAATCAAACGCTAGCAAATCTAACATAAGATAAAAATAACTGAATACAACACACTCTCATATATACACCTCTAGGGTATCCCACTTTGGTTGCCTTCGGAAAAACAGTCACAACTCTCAAAACGTGAGAGATTTTAGTGGCTACCCTCCGGTTTAAAGATCATAAGTCCCTCGATGACCCTCTCGACGTTGTCCCAGTAAAAATGATCTTAAAACCCTAGGGTAATTACTAAAGTTTCTTGCCCAATTGCCTTTGTGACTGTACAAACGTCCCTTCGAATGTCCCTCAAACATCCAACGATTATGGCTACCTACTCATTAATAATAGGATAACACTGTCTAAAGGAAAAGAGGAAAAGAAAAATCCTTTCGAGTATAATAAATAGTTTTTAGATGCTTGCTCAAAACAAAACAAACTTTTACACATACACAAAATTCTTTCAAAAACATTTTTCAAATACTTTGTATACATTCTCTACCATTCCGAGAAACATTACAAAGTTTGTCGCACTAAGACGCTTTCAAAATACTTTTCAAAAATACACAAAGCATGAGGTATTTCAAAATGAGCTAAGCATCTAAGAGCCCGTAGATAACTACGGATGGAAAGAGTGTTAACACCTTCCCTTTCCATAATCTACCCCCTTACTCAGAAAACTCTCGAAAGGTCTTTTTATGTTCTTTTCACCCTTTCCTTTGTTGGATAAAAGAAAAGTCGGTGGCGACTCTTGCTTACCGCAACATTTGCAAATACAAATACAAAACCAATATAACAGTCGGTTCTGCTACCGTATCACAATATGTCTATAGCAACTCAAATCCCTAGCACAGAGCAAAAATCAAGGATAAAAATCGATAAAGATTTGTAAAGCAAGTTTTATACAACGCCATGGGCGACAAATATACACGAGTTCAAAGTAAAAATACATACAAAATCCAACAAAAGTGAAATACTTAGAGAGGAGAAGAAATAAACCATAAATCTTCCGGTTTGTCAGCGCCAGTAGATGAGAAATTCACCTATAATCATCCATAAGCAAAGTCTTAGTGTTGTTTTCTAAGCTAATCTATAAAAAATAAGGTTGATGGAATTTGGAAACAAAAACACCCTAAAAATATAACAAAAAATAAACTGAAAATGAAGTTATAAAACAAATCTCAGCAGACCGCACTTAGCGGGCTCACCGTGCTAAGCGGACTGTGCGATATTTACACATTAAACCAACCTAAATCGCGCTAAGCGCGCTATCCGTGCTAAGCGGACTCCAAAACTAAGCTTCTACCAAAATGTCAAAACACAAGCAGCGCGCTACAAAATATGTTGAGCGCACTCGCGCATAGCGGCCTTTTGCGTGCTAAGCAGGCTCTCCTGGGCAAAACTCCTCAAAACTGGTCTTTTATTCTGAAAACGCGCATCCGGAGTCGTGTCTTCGACGCCTATTCCTCGATGCTCCAAAATGCAACAAATACCTACAAAATGAATGGAAAAACATCAAATGATACACTATATACACAACAACACAAATAAATATAAACTAAACGTATTTGCATAAAAGTCGAGTTTATTCGAGTCGATAAATGTAACAAAAAATATATACAAAAATAACTACAATTTGTACTTATCAGTTATTCCCATTTCAGTTTCTTTTTTTGTTACTTCTCTCCTAATCATTGTCGTAGTCAATTAGATGCACCCTACAAAGACCAACAATATCTTAATGCACCTTTGTTATCATTTAGAACATTCATTTCAAAAGCGGAGTCCTTACAATAAATTGTATCTACTTCACTATAACCTAGTTCTTTTAGTATACTTACAAACTCAAAGTAACTCCATGTATCAACATCAAATTTTAATTTATCACATGTTCCTCCTTCATACAAAGTTTGTTCACTAGCCATAAACTCACCACCATGATGAATTTTTAAATTCATGTATTCTTCCATTTCTATCTAAGTTAGCAAATTTAAAATAAAAAAGAGAGCGAAAAATGTGTAATACCCCTAAACACTAAAACAAGAATTTACTATGGAGACATAACTCAAGATACTCCTAAAATTGAAATCCTAAATAATAAACAAATAACATTTCATTGATGCTTAAACACAAGATAACATTGAAGACCCTAAAGTTCTAACACCAAAAAAGATAAAACCTTGAATACTAAAACAAATGAAAGTTCATTTCTGCAAGAACATCACATAACATTTAAAACCATAAAATCCAAAACAAATAAAAAAAACTCATACTAACCTTATGCAACAAAGATTCTTCAATAGTGTTTGCACCTTCGATTTCACCTTAAACCGTTGTCTGCTTCACTCATTTCCACCTTCAATTAGGATCTTGCCTTCAAAGATTCTTCAAATGTTGTCTCTTTTACTCGCTATCTCCCTCCTTCGGAGTCACTTTCATTTGTCTGCCAGGGTTTGAAAATAAGAACGAAACGAATCACTTTCGTTTGATCAAACCACTCTAATTTTAACGTAATTTAATATATGCATCAATCTATTTATTTTTACATCAACGTCATGTGACTATTCAATTTGACTTCGACTGACAAATCTAAAAAAATTGAAATTCCCTTATAATATGCGAGAGAGTAGTACATAAATCTTGTGAAGAATTAAGCTAACAACCCCTACCATGTTAAAGAGAATTGTGGCCATTGTTTCAAACTTATAGCAAAAGATGTAGGAGAAGAAGAAGAGTAGCACAAAAGGCATGAAGACAAAAAAGTACATCATTAAAAAAAAAGAAGTAATTAATTTAAAAATAAAAATGCAAAATACATTAAAGGGGGCCGGCAGGCAATAGAGGAGTCTCTTTGGGATTGGGATTGGGTTGGTTGTTGTTCCCGCATGGGCCTATCTTCTCCCCTCTTCCTCCATTTCCAAACCCTCTCTTCTCTCCACACTCCACTCACAAGCTCCACCGAGTAACCGTTTTCTCTCTCCTTGTTCAATTCTCTTATCTCTTTTCAAACATGTCCTCTCACGCGCTCTTTCAAGCAGCCCAAATCATCCCCATGAACTCCCACATATCCCCTAAAAACGTTCCCAAACTACCCCTGCTTCGCAACCGTCGCCGCCTCTTGATTCTTCGATCGTCGTCCGCCTCCCCCGCCGATGTCGACAGTGATACTTCATCGACGTCTTCGCTGTTTGAGAGATGTTTCGCCGCACCGTCTGCTCCTTCTGTTTCGGGTAATGTTAATCCGGTTATGAAAGGAGGGAAGTACGGTGCGTTTGGGGCTGTTACGCTTGAGAAATCCAAACTTGAGTTGTCGCACCAGCAGACTAATAAGTCTTCCCCTGAGGTTTGTGCTATTCAATTAGGGTTTTTGTTTTCGTGTTGTTCATTTCGTTAATTTTGGGAACTAAATTGAACACTTGAATACGTAGAACATTTATTTGAAATTTCAATTAGTTTTTCTATTTTAATGGCCTGGGATATTAACATACTCATAATACTGGAGTGAAGGAAGACAATGGGACTGGTCCCTTTTTTTCCTCTCTTTCTCATTTGCCTTTTGCCTCCTAGTGTTGATACATTACAATCATATTGTTTCCATCAGTAGTGATGAAGAAGTCTGTTTGAAAAAATCATTGTGTGTTTTGTATAACGTGCAAATCAGTGCTTGTGTTTCATCGGCACAACGAATTCAAAACGCAACACAAGTTCGGTTGTGATAACTTGCCAACCGAGATCAAAGGTGTTTTTGGCGTCTGAAATGGGGTTTGATTGAATGTAGTTTTATGCCAAAACTAGGCAGTTTGTTATGGGGGATTATACGTTGGATATGCCATGTTGCCTTGGACGCGTATATATAAAGAATCATGGTTGCTTGCTAATTGAGACGACATAAGATATTAGCCAGTCTCGTTTTCTTGACTAGATTGGAGTGAATGTTTTTTATGCAAAAAAAAAAAGGTTGTTTGTTTAGGAAATTAGATGTGAGCAGTATAAAAACTTCTGGTGTCGTTTTGTGTTACTTTTGTTACGGAGAGAACCTTCATGTCAGCGTGTCCTGAATCTTTTATTTTCATTTATAAAATAGTTATGCAGTTATTAATTTAAAATAATATATTTCATTAAGAAAGGGGTGTGTACATTATTATACAAATTAGCTAACATTAATATGAATTTTTAACTCATTGACTACTTCAATTTCTTCATGTTTAATAAATGCCTATGTTGCGGGGTTTTTTAAATGTGGACTGATTTTTGAGTTTCCATCTTTTGTTAGTGTCCTGCTCACTTCTACCCAATTTGCAGAATACCACTTCAAATTATGATCTGGATCATGCAAGCAAGTTCATTATTATTTTTTTTTTTGTTTTAGTTTGTTTTGTTGTGGAACATGTGTTTGAACATGGGATACAACTATGAACTTAAGTCCTATTTTGTTTCTTCCAGTTTGGGCTGCCTTATTTGGTGATGGGGAGGAGGTTGGGGAGAGGGCAATTTTGCAATACAAATAAAACGAGTGAAAGGAGAGGGTAGGAGTTAGAATCTCCATTAGCCTCTTCGATGCTATAAAACTAAATAGCATTAAGTGGGAGGGGATAGAAGAAAGAGGGAAGAGAAAGGAATAGTCCCCGATCCTCAGGACAATTGAATAGGGGGAGGAGAGGAAGATTAGAGTTGTGTTTCTTTTGGGACCCTTGGCATCCGAAGTAAAAAACTAAAATACTTAATTAGTGAAATAAGTTAGGGAAATGGCTCTTCAATCAAAGCATACCTACGTATCAGGAAGGAAAAATATATGACAAGAAATGAGAGCTAATAGGAAAATAAAGCTAAAGTGATATTAAATTTGTCAAATGTATTAATTCAAAATAGTATGTAATTTTTTCAGTTCTCCAAAAAACGGCTCTTCAAAGTGTACCTACCTACGTATCAGGAAGGATAAATATATGGCATAAAATGAGAGCTAATAGGAAAATAAAGCTAAAGTGATATTAAATTTGACAAATGTATTAATTCGAAGTAGTGTGTGATTTTTCAGTTCTTCAAAAACAATTTATATTAGAAGCATAACAATTAAAATTTTAAAATGTATTATGAATCCAAATGGCATATCAACCTAGTATCTGCTGCGTATTATAGATTCAATCAAGTAACATACTGCTTACTTACTACACATCTGTGGCTACTCAAATCATTGGAGCATTTTTAATTTTTTTTTTCATGTTTTTGTTTTTAATTTCTAAGTTTGTAAATATGTATTTCGTTTTATGCTTTATTGACAGCTAGCCACTGGGGGTGGTGGTGGAGATATTGGAAAGATAATCAGTTATGGTGGTGGTGATGGAGGTGACGACGATGGCGACGATGACGACTACTTTGATGACTTTGATGATGGTGATGAGGGAGATGAGGGTGGTATGTTTAGAAGACGCATAATTCTTCAAGAGGTTAGACATCTCATTTATGTTATTTAGGAATATGTTTGTTTCTGATTATGAAGTATATGCTATGTCATCTTTTGTTGCTTTCATTTGACATTTACTGAAGAAATGACAGCTATTTTTTCCTTTTGGCAGCTATTTGACCGTAAATTTGTGGATGCCGTGTTGAGTGAATGGCAAAGGACTATTATGGATTTGCCCGCTGGATTTCGGCAAGCTTATGAAATGGTACAGTACTTTTCAGGCTATGCTTGTTTAGGGGGTGTGGTAACGCATTTAGCCACGTACTGACTAAAAATATGTTTTAGGGCTTGGTTAGCTCAGCCCAGATGGTGAAGTTCTTAGCAATGAATGCCAGGCCAACTGCCAGTAGGCTTATATCCAGAAAACTACCTCAAGGACTATCAAGGGCTTTCATTGGCAGGTAGTCTCAATTATGACTTGGTTGACTTCAAATATAAGAAAATTTGGCAATCAAAATCTCTCAAAATTTAACCTCATGTCATTGCTTCTGTAACATGAGTTTTCTGTTCTTTTGCTTAAATACCTTTCTTTAGAAGCTACAAATGAGAGGACCATTGTCCTCAGGAAAATCTTCTTAGTGATAGGTATAAGAGGGCTATATATTTTGCTTACATGAATAAGTAAATATGATTTGTTGGACATCCTGAGGATATGGAATAGATGTCCTTATGAAGTCTTGACTCTTGATAATTTAGTCTGTCGCAAATCTTAAATATGATGGAAATTGATGAACTTTCTTTCTGGAGTGTATTGTCTTTAACACTGTTGTCATATATAAATATCTTTTTGTACAGGTTGCTTGCAGATCCTGCTTTCATGTATAGATTTCTATTAGAGGAAGTTGCTACAATAGGCTGTTCCGTGTGGTGGGAGATTAAAAATCGGAAAGATAGGTGTGTTGTGTATTTTCAAAAGATATGGATGCTTGTTGGTATTGATAAATTGAATAATTCTGAAATTTATTCTGATTTTAGGATAAAGCAAGAGTGGGATCTTGCACTTATCAACGTGCTGACCGCAGCAGCATGCAATGCCGTAGTTGTTTGGTCCCTTGCTCCTTGTCGTTCATATGGAAACACATTTCAATTTGATTTGCAAAACACATTGCAGAAGCTTCCAAACAACATATTTGAAATGAGCTATCCTCTTAGGGAATTCGACCTACAAAAAAGAATTCAAGCCTTTTTGTTCAAGGCTGCTGAGTTGTGCATGGTTGGTTTAGGCACGGGCGCAGTACAAGGTGCATTGTCAAGCACTTTGGCTAAGAAGAAGGAAGGAAGGTGTGCAGAGTCCAAACTCAGCTTATATTTGATAGCATTCAATTCACTGAATTTAATTAACCAAGGGTTTTATCTGTATTGGTCAAAACTGACTGCTACATTTACTAATTTGTCACATTTGAATTGTGTTGCAGATTATCTGTGACTGTCCCAACTGCGAGCAGCAATGCACTTGGTTATGGTGCTTTTCTTGGAATCTATGCTAACCTGAGATATCAACTGCTCTGCGGATTTGATAGAGCAATGGTCAGTCATTTTGATGTTATTGGAGTCGCATTGTTCTTCGGCACAGCTCTCAGGTACGCTTTTTTCCCTGAGATGTTCATTGAACTGAATCCAGTTCAGGTGTAAGTACTTATTGTATGTGTGTTCTGGCATTTATTGATGACTTTGACATTTCCTCTTTTGTTTTATTAGCATTACACACGCATTCTTTGCATCTATGATAATATTTGCTTTACAATGTATTCTCTTTTTATGATGTGTGCCCTACATCCTGTTGAAAGGAAACAATAATTGACACAAATTTTACAATGACTTTGCTTTACTTGACTTCTTTAGACTCAATTTTGAATTCTTCGTAAATGTTATTTTTTTAATAAGAATAAAGTATTGTTAAATTTTGATGTGATTATGTTTTGAGGATTTATTTAAAATGTATATAGGGTCTTGAACGTTCAATTAGGAGAGACTTCCAAGCGTGCCTGGCTTGGAGTTGAGGCAGATCCACTGGCTCAGTCAGATGAGCTCTTGAAGGTTTACAACAGGACTTCTGAAAATGTAGGAAAGCCGTCATCATCTAAATGGTTTATATCAAAGAATGCAGTTGTTTCTGGGCTTGGGCTCTTGGGCATCAAGCAAAGCAATGCAGACGGGTCTGGGGAACCATCAGCTCCTAAAGCTCGTCGAAAAAGGATTGTGCGGAAGAAGGTTGCTGCAGGATCTGCTTAGATGCTTCGGATGTAAACATAGTGTCAAATTTTGTTGATTACTGGAGATGATACTGCTGTATTGCCTGCCTGCCTGCCTTAGGTTGTGTCTGGTTGCTGCTCTTGGAGAGGTTGATTAGCTCCCAAAGATTTTTCGTTCCATCAATTTGAGGAGGGCTTTTTTTATTATTGAATTTTTGGAGAGATTTGTTATATCGACCACCCATATGTTTTCTTATCTGACCCTGTCCCTGTATAATATTTTGAATTTGAATAGTATTTTTTAAATAAAGTAGATTAAGTTTTTACCCCCACTAGATTGAAACACTGATGATTATTATTCATAAACAATCATCAATAAAAATCGTTTTGCAGTATGTTTCGAGCATTAAATTCTTCCATAATTTATCAATAAATGGTAAAGTCTCAGCAAACTATCTAATTGATAGAAGTTCAAACGAGTCTTATTATATAATTTAGTGAGGTTGATTTAGATTTCTAATCAACCAATTAGACTGTTAATTTGAACCAAGTTAGCAAAAACTGGGAGAAGCTGATCAAACAACTCAAATTAAAGTCATTTTATAATTTCAATGTAATATTAATGATGTTCTCAATATATATTCTATTAGTATTTATTTTTAGGTTTAAATGGATTTTTGGTTCCCGTCTAAATTTCCCTTATAAAATTAAAGACTTAAATACAATTTTGACCCTCAAAATTTCTCAATTGCATGATTTTGACTCTCAAATTTCAATTATTTGATTTTACTTGTTTGATTTTACCTCTTAAAATTTTCCCTACTTTTGGATTTGATAGCCCGACTAGGATATGTAGACTAAATTTCTCTTACGTGACATTAAAAAATTAAATCATACTGATATGGCGTGAAAAAATAAAATTGTTGACGTGGCATAAGTATATTGATCTATATCTATCTATCTATCTATCTATCTATCTATTTATCTATCTATCTATCTATCTATCTATCTATCTATCTATCTATTTATCTATCTATCTATCTATCTATCTATCTATCTATCTATCTATCTATCTATCTATCTATCTATCTATCTATCTATCTATCTATCTATTTATCTATCTATCTATCTATCTATTTATCTATCTATCTATCTATCTATCTATCTATCTATCTATCTATCTATTTATCTATCTATCTATCTATCTATCTATCTATTTATCTATCTATCTATCTATCTATCTATCTATCTATCTATCTATTATCTATCTATCTATCTATCTATCTATCTATCTATCTATCTATCTATCTATCTATCTATCTATCTATCTATCTATCTATCTATCTATCTATCTATCTATCTATCTATCTATCTATCTATCTATCTATCTATCTATCTATCTATCTATCTATCTATCTATCTATCTATCTATCTATCTATCTATCTATCTATCTATCTATCTATCTATCTATCTATCTATCTATCTATCTATCTATCTATCTATCTATCTATCTATCTATCTATCTATCTATCTATCTATCTATCTATCTATCTATCTATCTATCTATCTATCTATCTATCTATCTATCTATCTATCTATCTATCTATCTATCTATCTATCTATCTATCTATCTATCTATCTATCTATCTATCTATCTATCTATCTATCTATCTTCTATCTATCTATC